CCAGGATGGTCTCGATCTCCTGACCTCGTGATCCACCCGTCTCGGCCTCCCAAAGTGCTGGGATTACAGGCTTGAGCCACCGCGCCCGGCCTCGAATCTGCATTTTTAAATGAATTTCATTGTAGTTCTAATGAGAGGGTTGAGGGGACTTCAGGCCTCATCCAGTCCCTTGTATGCAAATTTATATTATTGGGCCTGCAAGAAGGGAGCTGGTCAGAAGAGGATTCTTAGCTGAGAACCAAGGAGAGACCATTCATTCTTTCATTCATTCATTCACAAATGTGTATTGAGGCAAAGTGCCCAGCACTGGGGATATTAACAATGACAGCCCCAGCCAACATTTGCTCCATAGCTCCTGCGGGCTTTTTTTTTTTGAGACAGAGTCTCACTCTGTCACCAGGCTGGAGTGCAGTGGCACAATCTTGGCTCACTGCAACCTCTCACTTCCTGGTTCAAGCAATTCTCCTGCCTCAGCTTCCCGAGTAGCTAGGATTACAGGCGCACACCACCACGCCTGGCTAATTTTTTTATTTTTAGTAGAGACAGGGTTTCACCATGTTGGCCAGGATAATCTCAAACTCCTGAGCTCGTGATCTGCCTGCCTTGGCCTCCCAAAGTGCTGGGATTACAGGCACGAGCCAGCGAGCTCGGCCTAATTTTTGTATTTTTAGTAGAGACGGGATTTCACCATGTTGGTCAGGCTGGTCTCGATCTCCTGACTTCAGGGGACCTGCCCGCCTCAGCTTCCCAAAGTGCTGGAATTACAGGTATGAACCTCCATGCCTGGCCTCCTGCGTGCTTTTGACATGCCCTTTTCCCCCCAGTATTCCCATGGCTGGCTCTGCCCACCTCCTAGGCTCGCTGAAGCCTTCCCCCATCATCCTATCCCAAACTGTAACTACCCTGATTTTCCATACCCTCAGCCCCTTTATTTTTCTCTACACACTTCTTCCCATCTTACAAAGTATATATTTTATTTAATTACATCTGCTCTTTCCACATGGGCCTTGTTCAAGCTAGAGCAATGCCTGTCACTCAGCAGGTTCTCAGTGAATGTTGGATGATTGCCCCTATGAAGGTGGAACTATTATAAAGCCCATTTTCCAGATGAGAAAAGTAAAGCCCAGAGAGGTTAAGACATGGGCCCACACACAACTGGGCAGGGGTAGAGTCGGGATCTGAAGACAAGCACTCTGGCTACAGAGCTGCTGTTCTCGGAAACGAGATAGCCGGGACTGGTGTCACCTGAGCCTTCCTGAACTGGTGTGCTAGGTTTGGGGTGGGATCTGGGGTCCTATCTGGGGGTGGCTGGCAGAAACACCTACTGGGTTCTGACCATCAGTCCCGTCCCACCCCACAGATGCACCCTGGAAGCCAACGGTGAACGGGACCATGGTGGCCGTAGAGGGGGAGACGGTCTCTATCTTGTGCTCTACGCAGAGCAACCCAGACCCTATTCTCACCATCTTCAAGGAGAAGCAGATCCTGGCTACAGTCATCTACGAGAGCGAGCTGCAGCTGGAGCTGCCGGCTGTGTCGCCTGAGGATGATGGAGAGTACTGGTGCGTGGCTGAGAACCAGTATGGCCAGAGGGCCACCGCCTTCAACCTGTCTGTGGAGTGTGAGTACCTTCCGCTCCCCTTCAACCTGTCTGTGGAGTGTGAGTACCTTCCGCTCCCCTT